CAAGTTAATGAATTTTGTTTCCAAAAATGCGTTTTATTGTCGTGTTTGTCACCGCAGTTCATGTTTTATTTCTTATTAGATTAATCCAAGATCTCTCGGAACATGGTGCATGAAAGGAACCGAAGAAATCTAGTCCAGAGTAGGTTCTTCGGTTCCTTTGACGTCACGTGGGCGAATATTCCCCAGCTGGGGAATTTCAAAACTGCGCGTGTTGTGAAAGAGATTTGAAAGACAATAAGCACAATAGCCTCCATTCGACGCGAAAATATGCTCGGATATTTGCCCTTGGACATTATCTGTTCCTCGAAGCTTAAACTTTTCTCAAACTGTTCTCTTCTCGGAACAGATAATGTCCACGGAAAAATATCGAAGCATATTTTCGCACCAAATGGAAGCTATTGTTGATGTACCTCTCATTTTTGAAGAAGATTCAGACTCTTCGATGTTACCAGCATCTGCCACTTTGGGAATTGTTTTTGGCATAAAACTGAGTATTGTTTCCAGGAAATAGCAAAGAAAACACAGGACCCAGCCAATTAAGCTACGATTTTTTCTGATATTTTCGCTCGCACACGATTGGTCTAAACGCGTCATGTGACTGAATATACTCCAAGTTAAACTGGAAAATATCTGAGTCTTATAATCCATGAAATATTTTCGTTTTCGATTGATTTAAACGAGTCACGTGACTGAATATTACCCTGGGGAATATCCGAGTAATACTCCCCAATTTTCAAAACCGCGCGCGTTGAAAAAATATTTGAAGGATAATAAACACAATAGCCTCCATTTGACGCGAAATTATGCTCGCATATTTGTCCTTGGACATTATATGCTCCTCAAAGCTCACGGTTTTTCTCGAGCTATGCTCTCGGAAAACTGTGAGCTTCTCGGAACAGATAATGTCCGCGGACAATTATCCGAGCATACTTCTGCGCCAAATGGAAGCTATTTATTTATTAAGAACTGGATCATTAGATAATGCAATTGAAGAGTTTTTATTGGCTTAGCCATCATGGTCCATTTACTATTACTAATCGAACCCAATAAATACCAGCAGATATTTAAACACTCTATCTTAATAACAGCTACAAATTTATAATTAACTAGCATATCTTTATTGAAATAGCCTTTCGGCGTGGAAAACACATTGACTTTACAGATAATTAAACCGACTGTAAAATCGAAAAGTCGAGGCCTTATGTAACACATAGTCACGAAAGATGTAGATACTGAAATTTTAAAATTCGGAAAATAAAGTTCAACGGAAAATAGGCAGTTCATCTTATTTCCCTGTAGTTCCATTCAATTTTATGACTTGTTTTTATCCAAACTACGAGTAGTCCCTCTTTCCCTTAGTCCATCCTGTGTGACGCGAAAGAAAACCGCGAGAAAATAATGGCTGCGCGAAACCCTGGCCCCCAGGATTTCGCGCGGCCAGTTTTTTCTCGCGGTTTTCTTTCGCGTCGCGCAGGATGGACTAAGGGAAAGAGGGACTACTCGTAGTCTAGTTTCTATCAACCTACGGAATATTAAATAACCCGAGTAGCCCACGCAGCAGGGGATTTGTTGGAGATCGAACTCCTCTCGCAGTAATGAAATTCTCTATTTTCCAATTGCCCATAATTCACTCTGTTTGCCCCCCAAATTTTGCATAAACTATTGTTATGAAATGCTCTTGGGAATATGTAGACCTCCCAAGATTATTTCACAACAATAGTTTATGCAAAATTTGGGGGGCAAACAGAGTGAATTATGGGCAATTGGAAAATAGAGAATTGAGGCAAGCAATTTCCTTTCAGTTTATTTATTCGTTGTTCTGGGACAAACACCGAAGCTTGTAACACTAATACTCCCCCGTGCTACCCATACTACATGTACCGTATCCCCATTTCCAGTCGAATGCAGTCCAACCGACCGTGAATTTAAACTCGACCGTAGTTACCACATACCCGACACAGCCTCAAATCGAATGCGATCAAACCTAATCGAACCCGGGTCATACTCAGACGAAACCAATCGAACGTAAATCGAACGTTTGATTGAGTTCGATTGCTCTAAATATTTTGCGAGGGTCATCGAACTTAATCGAACCCAATCAAATGATTGGGGTTCGATTGTGTTCGATTAGTAACGTCGGGCCATTACGGATGATAAATACTTTCTTATTCCGTTCTGCCGAGCATAATATATAGTGTGATTGAGGCATGCAATATAGGTTTCAAATGCTATACAAGGTTCTAAACAAATTATATCACAAAAGAGTTATTTTCGAGCCCTTGAATTGCATACTTCCTGTGTGAGTATAGCCTATGCTTTCCTGTGACGCAATCCAATCTGACTACCATAATAAAAACAGAATCAGCTGGTGGTAACAAAGTGAACCACCACTAGACCACTAAAATATATGTAGACCCATACTTAAGATTTCAAATGGTGGATACAACCAAATTTGATGGAAGCTGTGGGATAAGCTATGATACAATGATGTAGCAAATATATACTATTTGGTGATAAAGAAGTTCTTGTGACGATTTTCTCAACAATCGATGGGAAAACCAGAAATAATTGCTAACTTTTAAGTTCACTGTTTCAGTGTCTACCTACCACGATATTGTTTTTATCGCAAATTACTATAAGCCGAAGCAAGGACTAGTTGAAAAATTTATGAAAACATGTTGAAATTAGCCTCAGATCAAATTGAGTTGAGTCTTCAGCCCATTTCATTTGCTGACTTTGCTCGAAAGAACTGGTTTGGGTAAAGGATCATTTATCAGCAATGAGTTTCCAGCTCAGGCTAACCGAAAGGAATAGAGTTCAGCATTCTGAAAAAACTCATACGTTAGCAGGAGCTAGTTCACAGTAATTTGATTTCACACCCAAATTCTGTTAATAGTAAGCACAATAGATCAACTGACCGGACCAGGGGAATTGTATTCTACATAAAACTCACAGGGTTGCTGCGAACACCTAACGCGTACCAGAAGGGTTATGTTTTCGACGAAATTTATTTTAACCCTTAAGAAGTGCCGACAGTGTTTTACCGAATACCAAAATCCTGTACAAAATACAAAGTTCTTCAAAAGGAAAAACGATAATTTTTCCATTATTTTCAAACAACAAGTACTTTGGAATGGGCATGACGCTCTGAGTCTAACTGAAGGACTATAGCAGCAAAGCGTCCTTCTGGAGTCACTGTAATGCCCTGAATGCTAGCAATATTTTCTTCGCCGTATTGGATTCTTCGCACAAACTCTCCATTTTTCGTGTATATGAGCATATCTAGGCGGAACTTTTTCTTTTCGAAACCAGCGACGATGAGGTACTCACTTGCCGGGTGAAATGCAATTCTCGGATAGTGGTCGTGAGTGTGGTAAGATCCTTCCACGTTAAAATTGTTAATAAGGTCACCTTGTTCGTCAAACACTTGAATATCTGAATCATGTTTGTTCAGTACCATGACACAACCGTCATTAGCAGCAGCGATAGCAAACACGTTAGGTTTCAGTGTTCCAACTCCAATACTGCGGATAAGCTGTCCATTAGGCTGGTAAACGTCTATCGTTTGTCTCGAGTCTGTTACCAGCACATTTTTGTTGTCGTTAACTGTCAGATTGCGGCCAGAGAAGCCTTTCCTTAGGAGGAAGCCTTTGCTCAAGAGGGGCCTTTTGCCACTCTTTTCAAACATGCACACTCGATTTTCCTTAGCCCCAGCCGGGTCTCGCACTCTGACGAGTACATAAAGGCAGTCGTTCCTGTCAATGGCTACGTCCCGAACGTCGATGTTCGTAAGTTCATCGACAGGAAAGGGACAAAAAGAGTATTCAAACTTCCCGCCTCTTTCGAAGACCTTTACGTTGTGATCTCCTCGGTCTGCTATAATGAACTCTCCTTCCGTGCTTGTGACTATCCCCCGTGGATCCTTCAGCCTGTTCTCCTCTTCACCCTCCTGACCGAATGACCATGGTGCAACACAGTAGTGCTCCATTCTCAGCTCGCGCAGTACATTTGCTACTCTTGAATCACGCAATGGATCAACTTTCTCTCCCAGGCCGAACGCTCGTCTTCGTTTCGTATTCACACAAGGCCAAGTCATCAAAAGGTTTGCCCTCCCAAGTGTTTGAACGATATCGTATAAAACGCGATTCACGTGACAGACCCTGGAAAATGTTAGTCGGTATTCGACCTTCTTTAAGGGATTCGGAAGAGACAAGAGGTCCTTCCCTGAGGAGAGGTCCTTTAGCGTCCTTCTTTGAGCGGCGAGCCTGCGACTCAAGGAGTCCATCGGAGTCTTTCCTCTTTTAGCGGCGATTTTGTGAAACATGAACCCGCTGGCAAAAGTATTTTGAACGTCTGGCATGCTGTGCAGCTCTTCCAGGTACAACATACATGGAGCTAATGCATCCTCGGGATACTCTATTTTCTCTAGTG